CCCCCCAGTTCCCCCAGCCGCTCCCCAGCAGACCTGTGCTCCAGACCCTGCCCCAGCTCCGTTGCCCTTCTCTGGCCACGCTCGAGTCATTCAATGGCCTTTTTGGGGTGAGGGGCCCAGAACTGAACCCCCTCAGCGAGGGGCGGCCTCCCCAGTGCCGAGCCCAGGGCTCAGATCCCTTCCCTGTCCCTGCTGGCCACGCCAGGGCTGACACCAGCCAGGATGCCGTTGCCCTCCTTGGCCCCCTGGGCACACTCTGGCTCATTCTCACCCCCCAGTCCCTCTCTGACCGGCAGCTCTCCAGCCACTCCTCCCCAGGCCTGGAGCCCCCCTGGGGGTTGTTGTGGCCCAAGGGCAGCCCCCGGCATTTGCCCTCAGTGAAACTCCCCCAGTTGGGCTCAGCCCATCGCTCCAGCCTGCCCAGGTCACTCTGCAGGGAGAGATGCGGTAACATGGCTCAGTGCCAGGGTTGGGGGCGTTCCTGAGGGACAGATGGGTACTGGGAAAAGCATTTGCAGAACAGATGAGAGCTGCAGGTACCACCACAGTGGGTTCCTGTTCCCCATCTTTGTGTGCAGGTTTTGGGGCTCTTTACAGGACTGTAATTTTCTGCCCGCTCCAGGCTCTGCTGCTTTTACAGACCTTTCCTTAACTTCTTGGCAGCAGGAAATCAAAATAGCTGCAAAATCCCCCAAAAGATGGTCCTTCCTGACTGTCATCCTGCAGTTCTTCTTCTTCGGTGCTACACGACTGCCCTGTTCTAATGTCGAAACACAAACCGCTCCCCAACTGGGTGTTCCCAGAGTCATCATCGTCCTCAGCATTTTACGATACTGACCGGGCTCTGCGATAAGAGCTATTATTAGACCACTGCTTTTAATAGAGGTAGAAAATTTCAATATCAGGTGCAGCACTGCAGTCTGAGTAAGTCCTTATCAGCGCTGAAACCCAGATTAGCACGTAGGAGTGGGTGAATCCATGACCTGTGCTCACATCACACCCGGTTCCCAAGGGCTGGTGATTAAAGCAGCTTCATCGCTGGAGCTGATTCTGGTTTTATTGTCCTGGTTATGGAGAGAAAAGCAGAAGCTGGAGGAATAAGGGTGATGGTTTCATTTTCTGTGCTCCTCTCACACACTGCTGGGAAGAGAATCCCTCTACTGTGCGGAGTCAGGTCCTCCTCTAGTTTAACCCAGCAGAAGCCCAGGGCAAAAGCTGCTTTATTTTAGTCCCTGACACACAGGGTCTCTCCAAGGCTTTTAAACCAACCACCAAACAGGTCGCTATCTTCTTCCAGCGAGTCCATCAGCGTCCCCATGATCCCTTTGGGCCTGAAGGAGACAAAGGAGCTGGATTTGCTGATACCTCTGAAGGTGAGCGCTGGGGTTTTGCACACTTGATTCGATGTGAGATGATAGAGGGGAGTGACCGTGCACTTTGGGGGATGTTTCAGCACATGGATATGGTTGTGTGCTGTAGAGGAGATGCTGCAGCAACTGCAAACCATCTTCTATTTTGGAACAGCTGCAAAAAAATAAATTTATGGGGAGGAGCTGGACTTAAAGTATGGGAAAGTGTGAGATAAGGGTCTGGAGATGCTGGAGAGCCAGGCAGGGGAGGAGATGGTTTTCCCTGGTGCAGGTTTCCTTGCAGGGACAGCTGGCAAGTTACTTATACAGAATCACCCAAAGTCCCCCTTTAAATCATGAAAATTGTTTTGAATGGTGACTCAGAGTTTTCTTTTTTTTCCCCCATCCAGGATCTCATCAGTGAACACTATGGAGAGGAAGGCATCTTGTTTGAAAAAGAAATTAAAGAGTTCATGGAGCTACGGCAGGTCAGTGTCCCTTGAATTGCAAAGTCTTGCTTTGGCTTCTCCAGAAACGCGCACTGGAGGTGCCACATTTTTCTCCGGGGTCCCCTCAGCTTCTCTCCAAACTGCAGACAACTTCTTGTGTCTCAGGGTGCAGGATTCCTGCGCTGGAGCACCTCAGCTTCGGTTCATAGCTTACGAAATATTAGAGGCCGTTTAGTAATTGTTTTCTTTCCCTGTCCTTTAATGCCTTGCTAACCTAGAACTGAACAGCAATAAAAACTATAATGCAATCCATTACTGGTTTATGAATGTTAGTTCACCCCCGGCAAGACTAAATGACTGCTCCCTCTCCAGCTAGCACTTGGAGAAGAGGAAATATAAAGCAATCTGATAAAGGTGAATTTTCTCCTCTCCTACGAAATAGCTCTCGTATGTAACTTCAAGTTTTACCTTGCTGTGAAGCTTTAATCTGGGAGAGCAGAAAGAAAGAGACTTGCTCAAGTCCTTGTGAAGGGCCTGATCGCACTCTTCAAGCTGTGGGAGAGGAGCCCTGCAAAGCCAGAAGATGGAAAAAGGCTCATGGTTAAAACTAGGTGCTAGGAGAGCTCTGACCCTCCACCCCATGCCAGGTCAAAAGTTCAAAGGTTTTTTTCAAGAGCAAAAAATCATATTTCTTCCTTAGAATTTATTACATCAGCCTTTGCATGAATTTCTCTTTAAAAAAAAAAAAAATCCCAACATGGTTTAGATAAGTGTTGCCTCCAACATGGCTCCCAGGCTACTGGCTCTGGATTTGGGTGCCCCAGTACCTAACTGGTGCCTCCCCAACCTTTTCCACAGCTGAGCCTGTGCTGACGGGAGCTGTCTCCCACAGCTTCGCAGCATCTCATCCACTATTGATCTGATTCTATCGATCTGATGACTCGGGTGGAGTTTCTTCCCTCTGGGCTGGCCAGCAAGTGCAGCCTCATAAATCCGTCATTTCCCTTCCTGTTTTCCCCTGTTTTCCCACCCACGTGTCTCCTCTCCCATCCCTGCAGGCAATGCGCACCCCCAGCCGCAACGAAGCTGGGCTCGAGCTCTTGATGGAATATTACAACCAGCTCTACTTCCTCGACAGCCGTTTCTTCCCTCCCACCAAAAGCCTGGGTGTCTTCTTCCACTGGTTGGTGCAGCTTTCCCCATCCCAACTGGGGCATCGTGAGTGCGGAGGGAGCCGGGGCCAAACATCCACGACAGAATCTCTGTCTTGGCAGCAAAGCTGCCAGTCAGAGAGGGACTGGGGGGATTGAGAATGAGCCAGAGTGTGCCCAGGGGACCAAGGAGGGCAACGGCATCCTGGCTGGTGTCAGCACTGGCGTGGCCAGCAGGGACAGGGAAGGGATCTGAGCCCTGGGCTCGGCACTGGGGAGGCCGCCCCTCGCTGAGGGGGTTCAGTTCTGGGCCCCTCACCCCAAAAAGGCCATTGAATGACTCGAGCGTGGCCAGAGAAGGGCAACGGAGCTGGGGCAGGGTCTGGAGCACAGGTCTGCTGGGGAGCGGCTGGGGGAACTGGGGGGGTTCAGTCTGGAGAAGAGGAGGCTGAGGGGAGACCTCCTGGCCCTCGGCAACTCCCTGCCAGGAGGGGGCAGAGAGGGGGGATGAGTCTCTGGAGCCAAGGCCCCAGCGCCAGGCCCCGAGGGAATGGCCTCAAGCTGCCCAGGGCAGGGTCAGGCTGGCTCTGAGGAAGGATTTCTGTGCAGAAGGGGCTGTTGGGCGTTGGAATGGGCTGCCCAGGGCAGGGGGGAGTCCCCGGGATCCCTGGAGGGGTTGAAGAGTCGGGCTGAGCCAGCGCTGAGGGATCTGGGGGAGTTGGGAA